TTTTTTTTGGACCAAGGACCTCAAATCAAAAGACCCTAGGTCTCTATCACTTATGGTTTACCAGTTAGAAATGCATATCACTTATATCAAATGCATAAGAGAAATAACTCTCATATGGAGTCTCCGGATAGCTTCGGTCCAAATGGTCATCCTAAACCTAAAGATGTAACGAGCAATTTGGTAAAATAAATTTGTCGCTTTCTTTTATGGTTACGGAGGAGATATCGGAACAATGAAAAGTCAAAATTTAGAACATGACCTTGACCTTTGGCCTTGACCTCATATTTATTTTTATGAACCCAGGACCTCAAATACACGTACCAGTGGTCTGTATTACTTACCATTCATGTGATACATTGACATATCACTTATGTCAAATTCAAAATGGGAAATAACTGGCAAATCGTACTTTCTTGTTTATTTGACCTGTTGATACTAATTGTATTGCTTTTTTGTTATTTAATGTTATTCAGGGTTATATCTGGTCTATATACCAGCTTTGATAAGTGTTTGGTATAACTATAAATTTTCACTTCGTACTATGAACATCAAAATTATTTATTTTGTAAAAATATTTCCTTTCTCTATTGGTACTGTACACGTAGACCTAACAACAAAATTATTTTCATTTACCTGTGTTTAAAGTTATTACAAATGGCTGATATTTTTGTTCGAGCATATTGTTTTTCTTTAATTGTTTAATATTTCTTACCGATATAACATGTTACTTTTATTATTCTACCCTTAGTTTATTTATTTTGTATTTACATTGTGTCATAGGTCAAATTTATTTGTTCAGTGTATGTTCAATGGTGTTAATATGTCCTTTGATTGAGTTAAGCTATTTCAGTTGATATTTTATACTGTGTCTTTCTATGTTTTGATGTTACACTTTTGTTTCAGAAAAAGGGTGAAGGTTTGGTACCATTAAAACGTTTTAACCCGCTGCATTTGTTTGCACCTGTCCTAAGTCAGAAATCTGATGTTCAGTAGTTGTCGTTTGTTGATGTGGTTCATAAGTGTTTCTCGTTTCTCGTTTTTTATATAGATTAGACCGTTGGTTTTCTCGTTTGAATGGTTTTACACTAGTAATTTTTTTGGGCCCTTTATAGCTTACTGTTCGGTGTGAGCCAAGGTTCCGTGTTGAAGACCGTACTGTGACCTACAATGGTTGACTTTTATAAATTTTGACTTGGATGGAGAGTTGTCTCATTGGCACTCATACCACATCTTCTTATATCTATCTACGAATTGATTCGGTTGAATTTGACAAATCATCTTTAGGATAAATTTGTCGCTTTCTTTCACGGTTAAGGAGGAGATATCGGAACAATGAAAAGTCAAAATTTAGAACTTGAACTTTGACCTTGACCTCAAATTTATTTTGATGAACCCAGGACCCCAAATACACGTACCTTAGGTCTGCATTACTTACCATTCATGTGATACATTGACATATCACTTATGTCAAATTCAAAAGGGGAAATAACTGTCATATGGAGTCTACGAATTGATTCGGTTAAAATTTGATAAATCATCCTGAGGATATAACGAGCAATTCAGTAAAATAAATTTGTCGCCTTCTTTTACGGTTACGGGGAAGATCTCACAACAAAGAAAACAGTGTTTGGTGAGATAACACTTACAATAAAAAGTCTTCGACTAAACAGGGTCAGTCTCAAAAGCGCAATAACTGTTCGATATCATATGCAAAAAAATCTAAGCGAAACCACAAAACAAGTTTTGAAATTTGGCGGAAAAAGAAAAGAATAATCAAAACAAATACAGTAGGTTTTTCCACAAAATAGTGGAAAGACCTAATAATATTGAAAAAAAGGTATTACCTGTATACCTATCATTTCTTCTTAAATTTACACCCTATATAAATAAAAAACTCATCAATATTACCTAGCTTACAATTATGTACGACTGCCGAGCGTTTTATCTACATAAGGCTTACCAGTGGCGCTTTAATTAAGATGTTGAAAGGCGAAGTCAAATATATAGTTAAAGAGCATTGAACAACAAAATTCCGAAAAATTGTGTCAAATACGGATACGGCTGTCTATTTTAGGGTTATACGAATTCATTACTGTTTCGAATGATTCATCATTTAATAAACAGTAATGTTCAGTAAATGAACATATCCGTGACATTTCATGTTGACAGGCATGTGCTGACTACATGGTCGGTGATGCCCATTGCAGACCAAACGTCGAGTCGTAGTGTCATCGATCTATGGGTTATACATTTGGAATTTCAGCGCGTATGTTGTCTTCATACATGTCATATGAACCCTCCGTGATACGGGAATCAAAACAGTTGTGAGGCCAAATCAAATCAGAAGTTAATGAGCATTAACACGTCTAATTACTGCCTATTCCCATAATAACCAATATTTATCATTTAAAAATACGACATAGTATTTGGCGGCCATATAGCTCTTTCAATTAAGATAAAATCAGTATACAACGTTTATATATTTATTGCCACTGTACAACTATTGTGTGTTAAAAACTGATCCTTTTTCTAAACATTTCTAGAGCTCAAATACACAAAAATTGGCAGCATGTATTAAAGTACCAACATTGCGTCTTTATATTCATAATGGTTTACTGTTCAGATCAATCCGTCGTCGTGGAAACACAGAACGCATTCTATTTTATACTGTAAAAAGGGTAATTTTCGCGGCAGTTTAATGTTCGCTATATTTTGTGATAAGAGTTGAAACGCGAAAATAAAAATTCCGCGAATATTTCAAGGACAACCGATTAAAAGTATGACCATACATGAACCTATACCAATAGGTTTATGAAAAGGAGCATTTCATAAAAACGATTTAAAAACAAGCGGAAACTATTGATATTGCATAAGGTGATTAATTAGCCGTATCATGCAGCTTATTTGGAAAAGTTTTCATTGTTGATATGTTTTTGTGTTTTTACATGCAAACATACATAAAGAGATGTTATTTTACTTGATATAAATCAATTAACTTTAAACCTAAATGTGCATTAATGAAACAACGATAACTGTTCACACTGGTCAGACCAACAAGTTTTTCTGAACGAATTTCAATGTTTCAATACACCCTTGTAAAATTTGAAATTAATTGATATAACATTGTAAAGACCCCGTCAATAGCGAATTCAAAACAGCGCGAATTAAAATGCAGTTGTCAAATCGCTAAGTAAAAACGATGCGAAAGTTTTCCAACTTACAGTACTAAAATATTGTCAGCATGAAAAAGGAGTGCCGAGCCTTTTTTGAAATACGGAAATGTGTTGTAATAAGATATTAAAAGAATAGGGACTCAGGATTGATTGTGATATAGCAAGAAATAATAATAAAGAAAGTAATATTAGAATAATGTGAAAAGGGTCAATACTACTTTTTTTTTAATGTTGAAATTAGCAGTTTTTTGTAACTCATGATAAATAATGTATCATAAAATATGAGTATTACAAGTGTAGATTTTAAACACATTTACCAGCATTAATCATGAGTGCTAATATTTCATCGTGTATCTAAAAGCACGTACGAGTATTTGAAATCAGTCGAAGCAACCACACTAAGTGTCATTTTATGCTCATCATTTATATTTGGAACCACTGATTTCTTTTAAAACCTGAAAAGACGATACACTAGATAAGTTCAACAAGTTATATTTAGAAATAATGAAGTACCATGATTAGTCCCGTAACTATGTTACTACTGCCAGATTATGCATTTGCATTAGATGATAAGACCTTGACCTAATACAACACGATAGAGCATCAATCCGAAAAGTTCTATGATTTAAGCAGGTGACACAATATTATGGACATAACAATATAAAAATAAGGAGATTAGGTATGATTGCCAATAAGACTACTATCCACCAAAGTTCTAATAAAGTGGATGTAAGCAATTATAGGCAACTGTATGGCCTTCAACAATGAGACAAATTCATACCTTATAGTCGAATATAAAAGCCCCGTTCAGATTGCATCAGAACATTTTCGGGAGACATACATAACCTGTACCTGACAAATAACATGGTTATCCAATTTTACTTCTTCCAAGGCGTCTGCAAGATCTTTCATCGAAGGGTCTTCAAGGTCTGATAACTTAGATTCCTTTCATTTCACTAGTGCCATCGACTTATGCCTTCACGACTGTGACCACCATACATGTCTAAGGTGTTCTCCCATTGCCTTGGTGTCATTCCCAAATTAATGAAAAACTCTTGAAATGTTTTTATTATAATCTGACCTCTGAGTCTAACTAGGTGCTTATCACTTGGTACTGTTCTCAATTCATTTTATTTTAGACATCAAAGTTGTACCTTATGTTGAAATAAGCGGTAACAATGACTCATACTAATTCAGCACATTGGACTTAATCCAACGGTTAATGTAAATCTACAGAAACGTTTACGTAATTGTCGGCATGTACAAGCAGTATGTCAACACCAAGCAACATTGCTAGCAGTCCTAGCGTTTGTCACATTTCAGTTGAACATTAAATGTATGAAATCAGAATGCTATTTTGATCAAATCTATCCAAAAAATGCGGAAACGGCCAATTTCAAATGAAGTGACACTATTTCATATAACATCATAATTGTAATTTTCAATATCCATATAGCTTAAAAATTATAATCCAGTTAAACAAATAGTATTTAGTGTCTAGTGTTAGTGATTTGAATGCTTTCTTTTCTCCTGCATTCTTATTTTTTTTGTGTTTGTTTTAATTCCATTCATCACACAGATATGTATAACCGCATATACTTGTGTTTTCTATAGTTACCTTTACATCCTAGTGCACACGTCTTTTGAGACTGAAAAATAAATTAGACTATTTACTGTTTGTAATCAAATAACGAGCTTTTGTCGTGTATTGATTTATACTACAGATAAGATGTTGGTAAATATGTATAAAACAAAATCGAGGCATAAGTTTTGTGAAGGGTATATAGAAGGTGGCGTTATTTTTAAATTTATATCATCTATTTTCAGGGTGCTCAACAGATGCCTCTTCCATTTACAACAAAACAAGATCATGAAACCGTTGTTTGTATAATCTCTGTTTTATTTTCAATTATACTTGAATAAAGGTTGGGAACTGTTGAGTGTATTACATTAGAAGTATTTGTAATGCTTATAAACATACACTAATGACTTAAAAGGATTTTGTTAATACAATTCATCATACAGTATTGCCTTACCTTATCAAATATCCAGTAAAGTAAGTATTTTGTTTCATGCTTTTTTCCATGTCACAGGTTCAAAATTTGGCGTCATTAACCTCTTCTGCAGATTTGAAGCATACACCATTGCAACATGGAACACCTAGCGCCAAGGTGTACGGTTCTAATACTTTTGTTGGTTTGATTTTCTTACCGAAACTGTAAAAAATAGAAGAGAAGGGAAGACCCGATGCTCTTGGTCAAACATTCTTGTATGCTTGTTGCAACATCAGGTGAGATAGAGAGTAATGATGTCTGGTTTGTTAAGTATACCGTAAGTCGATTGTCTTCTAACCATATACTGAGTTCATTATCCTCACTCACGTTCATGACTGCCGCCTTGTGGTATAGACACGGTTTTCCATTTTCTTTTTTCAATGACCAAATGATTATTGCTGCCCCAATTACTTTGTAAGCATTTCAATTTTCTTTTTTCAATGGCCAATTGATTATTGCTGCCCCAATTACTTTGTAAGCAAGAGCATTTGGAATGGAGTTTTTGGCTAATGCATACTCCAGACAAACTGTTCTTTCTCCATGATGTTGCAGGTTCTTGGAGTCTGGTCTGGGGGTCTTGATTATGCATGGTACAAGGTACCCATCAGAATACGAATTTTTCAACACCTTAGAGACTACCATAATATCCAAATGAACAAGAAGCTGTATGACAAATCATTTAATGGAATCATCTTGCCTGTATTGATGGAAATGATCTTGTTGCCAAAGCTTACAAAAATCTGTTCGGTAAATGTTACCTGTCTGTGTCAATGTTTGCATGACGGTTGAGAGATTTTGGTCTGCTGGAAAGAACTTCTCATCCGTCACAAATGACCTCAAAATGTTAACCAATGCAGGAGGGTGAATGATGATGCAATTGTCTAAGCCAGGAGAATTGTAATACATCAGTTTACCAAGGGAGTGTTGGACTAAAAGGAAGTCGTTCAGCTGATCTTTTGTTAAGGCCAAGTCGTCATTCAGCTTATTAACATTTCGTAGATCTTCCTTGGTAATGATGTTTACATTTTTCACTCTCATGTTGGAGATTTGCAACTCCAAAGGTACCCATTTCATAGGTCGTCGCTGATAAAAATACATAGTATCCAGGTGTATGTGATGTATTTTCTCGTAATTGCAGAACATATGTTAAATAACCAGAATGAAATCTTCTTTCATCTTTGCAACGTCGGCCTGAAAGAAAATTGAAAAAAATAGCAAATAGCAAACGTTGTTACCAGTGCACCAGTGCCTTCTGGCTTCAGTGTGGCTGTTGAACAACGGGAATCGTTCTGTGTTTGAAGCAGAATAATGGAATTAAGAGTAATTACTGTTGTTGTCTTTCCGGAAGTTGAAATACAGGATGATGAATGAAATAGTATGACAAATTCAAAGTTTAAACGCTATAAAATGAATGCACGTGAAAACGAAAAAATGTATTCTGTAAATACAATAGATTACCACATTGTCTATTAATAATTGAGTATAAATAAAAAGCAACATCATTTTACTGATGTTCAAATTTCGCAAATCCATTTAAGATAAACAATCCTAGTAAAAACGACTGAGAAATTCAATTGAACTCCAAAAGAACAGGTGCGTGTACAGGTTTAAATTGTCTGGTTGTAAATAAATCAGATGTCATGCGAATACAGAACCAGTCAAAATGGTCAAAGTAGGAAAGTCAGTTAATTTACAAACCAGACGACTATTCATTTATATTAAGATATTTGACCGTACAAACATGTATCTCGAGAGTTATAACAATCAACCTACTAATTATGTTAAACATTTAGGAAGACCTTTATCATCTACATTAGAAATATATATTTACTTGATTTTCTTGTAATTCTTTGGTTAAATCAAAATTCTTGTTTCAATTTTCTAATTGTTACTATACACTACTATAAGTCAAGCTGATGCAATGTGAGCACTGCTAATGAAGACCTATAACCAGCATATATAACCCTATAGCCAGTATACATAAACCTGTATCCAGTATCTGTAAACCTACAGCCAGTATCTAAGGCTTAAACTTTGATACTTGATAGATATATGTGAACGTTTTTAGATGCCAATATTATATGGTGCTCACGCGTTAGTTTACCTTTCACTGGTCCCTGTGTGTTGCTGCAAACATAATCTTTGGCATAATGTCTTCAGTGTAAGTCAAAACGGAATCAACCAAGTGTTTTAGTATTGCTGAAATAAAATGTAAAATTTTTACCGACCTCGAATGACTTCAATTCACAATATTGCCGCACTGAAAATGCGTAGATAAGTAATACATGAATGCATAGATAGATACTGAAATGAAATTCAGTAAATTTTTAAAATGAAGACAATAATGACTATATGAATAAACCAACGTATCGGATTTTGACCAAACGGAACATGTATTTGAATGAATCAGCATTTACTGTGAACTAAGGTATGTGACAAGTATAACATACACTGAGGTTATATTCTTTGATAGGTTTTCTGTTTACGACGACTCATCTCTGAAATATGTCATCTAAAATCAGTTAACATTGTTCGGCTGAATCAATTTTTGAACATTTGAATTCTTTATCAAAACCAATGCAAGATCATTTGTAGATATATGTCAGCTTTATATTCTTCTAAGTGCATAATATTTGAGAAATTTCAAGGGCCTAATGAAAATCCACATTAACACCAAGATTAAGATATTCATTATATCAATCTTCAGATGTGTGATTCTATTAGGTATTTTCTTCTTATAGGTTTTACTTACATGCAGCTGTAACCCCCTCCGGATATTCGTCCAGCTGTTTATGTAAACCAAATCTACCATCAAACATCAGTAAAAATGATCCATTGTGTTGTATGAAAAGTTGATGAGTCATATCATATGATTTCTGCCCACCAAAATTGATAAGGTCAAAAAAGAATCAACAAATGAACTTCAATATACTTAAGTCAGACATACCCTCTTGAAGCGGAACCATTTTCTTCCTTTCAATATTAATACAATTCCTGCCAAAATAAATGACAAGTCCTTTTGTAGAATTCGACTTAAGAGGAATTTCTTCGCCAAGAAGTACACTTGCTAAATTACTTTTTCCTGTCCTACAGGGACCACATAACAATAAAATAAACAATTATTAAAGATGATAACAATGAAAAGTAAAACAACAAAAATACCGAACTCCAAGGAAAATGAAGACATTATGCCAATAATTATGTTTGCAGCAACACATAGGGACCAGTTTAAGGTAAAATAACGATAAAAATTGTTCCACGCGTGAGCACCATATAATATTGGTATCAAAAAACGTTCACATATATCTATCAAGTATCAAAGTATAAGCCGTAGATGCTGGCTCCCCTACTATAAGAAGCAAGGTATAAAAAATAAATATTTGTATAACTATCCTTTCCCTGGATAACTTTTGTCTTCTATTGTAACCTCTTCACATCTTGCTTAATAGATTAAAAAATCTTTATCTTCCCAGGCTTTAGATTCATCAGTCAACATAAACATTACTGTGTTACTGCCCACTACATATCTGTTAATCAAAGGAAAGAGATGACAAAAATCGTGTAGTTATAAAATTGTGAATGGAAATGGGGAATGTGTCAAAGAGACATCAATCCGACCATAGAGCAGACAACAGCCGAAGGCCACCAATGGGTCTTCAATGCAACGAGAAACTCCCGCACCCGAAGGCGTATTTCAGCTGGCCCCTAAACAAATATGTATACTAGTTCAGTGATAATGAACGTCATAACTCCAAATTATACACAGGAAACTAAAATTAAAAATGATATAGGACTAACAAAGGCCAGAGGCTCCTGACTTGGGGCAGGCGCAAAAATGCGGCGGGGTTAAACATGTTTTTTGAGATCTCAACCCTCCCCCTATACCTCTAGCCAATATAGAAAAAACAAACGCACAACAGTAGTTGTCTGATGACTGTCAATTTTCAAAATCATCCTTTTTATACGATTTAGGTAACTTTTCTTTCAATTTGGTTCTTGTGAATTTGAAATATAATGTATTAAAATTAAATAAAGAAAATGCTTATATTATATTCCATGCGCTGTTGCTTTTTCATTTTTTGTTTCCAGCTTCTAATATTATTTATGAATTTGTTGGTACAGGAAAATCCCTTTCATTGACTGATTGTGCCCCCTAAACATCATTCAACTACAGGTAAAACATTGATTCAATATTTTATTAACTTATGGCTTCATATCAAACAAACCTAGTAAAATCGTCGAGTACTCTCAGATCTGTACTTGGTGTCTTTTTGTTGTTGGGATGTACAAATACCCGGCCACGTCCACTCTGTGTTTTTGTTAGATGTATTTCTATTTGTAGCCATCTGATGAGTTAAGCCTTTTTCAACTGATGTTTATAATTCGTTCTTATGTTGTACTGTTACACCACTGTCCCGAATTAGGTGGAGGGTTGGGATCCCGCTAACATGTTTAACCTCCGCCACATTCTGTGTGTATTTGTCTGTCCCAAGTCAGCAGCCTGTTATTCAGTGGTCGTTGTTTGTTTCTGTGCTACATATTTGCTTTTCGTTCATTTTTTGTACATAAATAGGCCGTTAGTTTTCTCGTTTGAATTGTTTTACATTTGTCATTGCGGGGTCTTTTATAGCTGACTATGCGGTATGGGCTGTGTTCATTGTTGAAGGCTGTATGGTGACCTATAGTTGGGAATTTCCGTGTCATTTGGTCTCTTGTAAAGAGTTGTCTCATTTGCAATCATACCACATCTTTTTTTTTTATAGTATGACTCCCTGTGCTTGCCTGCGTTTTTGTATTATATTTATGTTCGATGATTAATCAGATGGCATCTATTCTATAATACACATAAACTATTGATACATTATAATGAGTCCATGTGTTATA